CATTATTCGACTTACGACATCCAATGTAGACCCAGCCTTATTGACTTTACTGGCGTGCGAAAAACGCAGCACCAGTAATTTTCATTGCTACCAACTATACTGTTTTCACTGGCAGTAACTAAATCCATTTTCGAACACATCCGATGTACTGCGGTAGTACGTCGCACTATTACAGTGCTGCCACATTACATAGTACAACGTTTGAGCGTTAACTTTGTAGTTGAAACTGTTCAAACTACAAGCCGCTGAAATAAGAGCGACAGATCTGTCGCTCCACTTGCTTATTTCAGCAGCACGTGAAATTGCACCTTGACGCGACTCACGACACTCACGAGTCTGCCGCATATCCCGCATATCTTCTCGGTCTCGACATGATGTAAAAAGAAAGGTGTATCATTGCGCATAGCGGCGGCGGCACGATGAGCGAGCCAATGAAATTTGTGTCCAAATGCACATGGACTGCTGCAAGAAAAGTGTATCATTGCACATGAGACGGCGCACGATGAGCGAGCCAATGAAATTTGGGTCTAAATGCACATGGACTACTGCGCATACACGATGTTGTTACACCTTTCTTTTTACATTATGGGTCTCGATAGTCTCGATACTCGTCGGCGCGCTGAGGGGACAGTCGGAGGCGCCGGAAGACTAGGAGATCTCGGGGGATCACCCGCAACGCGACAGGCCTGAACAGGACCGAAGTCCGGGGAGTGGATCCGCATGATCGTCGCTTGGACCACACGTTGCCTCGTGCTCTCGCAGCCTCGCGGTGTCTCGGCCAGTGAGAAACGGAGAGAGATCCTCGCGCGTCGTCCTACCCAGCCTCCTTGCCGCGTTCCCGGTGGTGCCGGGTGTCACGTCGTGACCGTTCGCGCGCGGCCAACGATTCCAGATCGCAGGGATGACCGCTTCGAGCGGCAGCAGCAGCCCGCTGCCGAAATGGCAGCTCGCCCTCGTGGTCGGGGCACCGGTCGCCCTCGGCCTCGGCTACATGTACTACAGGAACAGGAACAGCGGCGGCGGCAAGGTCGACAAGCCGGAACGCGACAAGTTCAGGAGCGGCGCGGCGGCCAGGGAGAACGGCGCGCCTGCCGACAAGCAGATTTCCATCGACGGCGATTGCCCACCCAAAGTGCCTTCTTCCGAGCCGGAGGTTAAGATCGTCTCGCTCTCCTCGTCCGAGAGAGCGCGGTAGATTGCGAAAATTCCTTTATCCGAAATTGAGAGAGAAAACATTTCACATTGCGCCAACGTCGCGCTTGTCGGTGCCCCTTAATGCCCAAGAAACGTCACGGGTGATAAATTCCTTACCCTATATCGTCGGTAGCCATAATTGAATGTATCTAAATGCTGTTATCACTAGCGATAATTTTCAGTAAATAATACTGCCAGTGAGTACTGCGCCGACAATGAGATTGTAAAATACGTAGCTTGCGTACGATAAGTGGACCTTCGCAGTCGATCGAGGCTCTCTCGGTACATATTTGTCCAACTCTTGGAACTTTTATGAAATTATTTTTAATATCTTCTACAATATGGCATTGTATATACTTTTAGATTATTGTAGACTGCAGAAGATGGTACTTTGTGACTAATGCGAGCAAACTTCTTTTTTTGTTCTAGACTCCTTTACAAAAGGCACAGAGGTATAAGAACGAGGGAAATGTATGTTTCAAAACGGGAAAATACGATGAGGCTATTGCACGATATAATAAAGCAATTGATATTTGTCCGAAGGAGAACGTGGACAACCTCGCAACTTTTTATCAAAATAGAGCGGCTGCGTATGAGCAATTGGTAATTAAATTGATTATATTAACCAAGGATAGAGAAGCTACTTTTTAAAAATAACTAGTCACCGTTGCCGATTAGTGCTGGGGTTCTTTGAGCTTGTCCAAGTCGATGCGATACAAGCGTTTACTCAATTGTAATTGCGACTTGCAGAAAAAATATAGCGCCGTAAAAGCCGACTGTACAAAAGCTTTAGAACTAAATCCAAGATATGCGAAAGCTTTACTACGCCGGGCACGTGCTTTGGAGCAGGTGGGGGAGTTGGAAGCTGCCTTGGAAGACGTGACTACCGCGTGTATTCACGAAGGCTTTTCCAATCAGAATTCCCTGTCAATGGCAGACAAGGTCTTGGAAAAACTTGGTGAGTTATGTACAAAAGCATTTAGTATCGAATAAAATACTACAGCAAGTTGAAATAAAAATTGAGAATTGAGAAGAGAAATTAGAACTTTAAACAAAATTTTTCAGGGAGACAACATGCCCAAGAAAATTTGGCGAATAAAAAGTTTGTAATGCCAAGCAAGCATTTCATCAAAACTTACATTATATCTTTCCCAAAAGATCCAGTGTTTTCTAGACTTAAAGATCCGGCGGCGATTCCAGAGTAAGTGTTGACATGAGTTTCTGATAACTGTAACGTTTACTCTTTAATATAATATTCTGTGATTTGATCACCAGTTACTTAAAGAAACCACTACAAGCGTTATTGGACACGGAATACGATGATGTAATACCGCTGTGCACGGAAATCGTGGAAAATTCCGATTTCATTGAGTTTCCTTCGTTGGAACAAGAGGTGCTACTATTACGAGCTACATTTCACTTGCTTTTGGGCGAGCACGTTGAGGCGATTCACGATTTTGAAACTATATTGAACAGCGAAGATGCGTCCGACGACGTCAAGATAAACGCCCTGATAAAGAGGGCGGCCTTGTACATGCAACTCGATAATCCAGAAATGACTTTCAGGGACTTTGATCTAGCCATTAGAATGGATGCATGTTATAGCGATATCTATCATCATAGAGGACAGGTATTATGTGTCTTTGAGCATATTTTCCTTGTCGCGTGCATGTAGGTGCACGTAGAGAATAATACAATAACAATGTACTTTGTGAATTCAGGTAAATTTGCTCATGAACCGTATAGAGGAGGCTAAGCGCGATTTTGAAAAGGCCATCGAGTTCAATCCAGACTTCGGCATAGCATATGTGCAAAAGTGTTACACGGATTATCGTTTTGCGATGTTCAGTAAAGATGTAGCATTAGCCGAAGCGGCTGTGAAAGACTTCGAAAGAGCTTTCGAAAAGTACCCAAATCCCCCAGAATGTATATATTGTTATATATTGTATGCTCAGGTATGTACAAAACTACTTAAGAGAAACAAGTGATAAATTATGACTGTTGCGGTACACGTTTTGATTAAATTGGCGAAACCTTCAATAATCATTGTAGATGATGACTGAAACTCAACACTACCAAAAGGCTGATACTTATTTTGCTAAAGCAATAGAGAAAGATCCAGAGAATGCAACCGTCTATGTGCACAGAGGTTTATTGCAATTGCAATGGAATGGTAATATTGATAAAACTGTGGAGTACATTCATAAGGCATTAAAATTGGATGAGAAATGCGAGCTTGCGTATGAATCGTTAGGGAGTATCGAAGTACAAAGGTATGTTTCTAATTGTTATTGCACGTTGGAAAAACGAGCGAGCTGCGATCACGTGACTAGAAAATCTCAAGATATTCTAATCCGTTTGTTCTTCCACGCAGAGGAAACATAGAGGAAGCAGTAAGGTTATTTGACAAGGCTTTGGTATTCTGTCGTACATTTATGGAATTAACACACATATACAGCTTGAGAGATGCCGCGAAAACACAACTGAATATAAAGAATCGACTAGGTATGGACGTGATTCGATCGTCGTCTCGATTCATCCCCAATTCTATGTTTTAAATTATTAAGAAGTTAAAAATAAAAGACCACTGTTACTAAACTACAAGAATTAAATTTTATGTTAGCACACGTCACTTTTTAACATACAGGGTATCCCAAAAACTGAAGTCTGCGAATAATTTTACCCTATTATACCGCATTTTATATAAAACAATTTATTTCTAACCGCATTTGATCTATGATTTACACAAAGTTAGTGACATGATATACTAGTTGTAGATTATCAGCTTTAAAGTATTTGTTGGCAACTGATAAACAGCTATTTAGAATTGCTCAAGATTTACTCTTTGTAAGATTTTATGTTTGTGCGGATATTAAAATTTGTTATTTGAGTAATTTTGTGACTAATCACAAATTTTTTAATTGATTTTAAAGAAGTATATGTATTTTTGTTTAAAACACTTTATATGTTGGAAAGAGCCTATTATTGAAAATCGTACGACATAATCTCTTAACGTGATTGTTTTCAATCAAATTATATAAAGTTTGTATAATAGAAACTTATATGAAAGTTATTTTGTAGTTATTTACATTATCCTGTGCGCAGAAAATAATGTATTGAGAAAATAAATATAGTATACTTTCATATTTGGAATAATAACGATTTGAGGATCCCTAAAATTTATAATGAAATCCTGGTGCTCTATGAGAAGGAGGTAGAAAAATTGTTGTCACACTGACAATAATTTATAGTAAACTCGATTTTCATAATTTTAATATATTTCTGTACTCTTGTAAATTATATGTATATTATTTCATTTCGCTAATTTATTTAAACATCATAAAAAATGGAAGCCAAAGGATACCTTATAACAAATGCCATCATACTGCCGGCAATCTAAAAAAAAAAGAAATAATTTTATATACGTTAAATAAATACATTTATTTTTAACATAATTACCTGAATTGCCAGTAAAATTGAAGTGAGTGTTGATTCTTTCAATGAACCAACATTGATTAGCACAAAATTGATTAAAGTTAGATTATTGCAAGTCACAATGCCTTCCCCGTCTTCTTGCCACTCGACTAATTTCAATGTTTTTAATATCCACATTAGCAGCTTGCCTGGTAAGGTAAAATGTAGTTAAAAATAATTCCGAGCAGTTTTTTATGTATACAAAATAAATTGTGCTATCATACCTAGTGCGTTCAGTTCCGATTTGAGGAATACAGTTACGCTAGGCTCCAATTTGTCCGTCTTTTCGTTATACCTGCGGATGAAACGATCATTTGTATGCTGCGAGCACATTTTTCGGAATGGAACTTTCTTTCCGAGCTTACTTTGGTAATCTGTGTCTGGGACACGGTACAAGATGAAACAGCTGCGGTACGCTGTATAAAAAATTGATTATTTGCGGGATGAAAAACAGCAGGGTCGTCTTGCTGAAGTGGCCTAGGATACCGACGACGGCGAAAGTCATTCCCGACAGGTAGCAAAACGTGTCGCCCACGAAAACCTGCGAGGGATACCTTGAACAAAGCGCCATTATCCCTTCAGCTCGGCGTCACCCCGTAACGTTTCATAATTGTAAAATATAAGTTACAAATTAAATATGTATATACATAGATTGATAAATTCTAAATTTATGGATTTATTTAGTACATTTACGAGAATACGAACTACAGAAGAGATCATTACGCTATTTAAACTGTTCCCATTCCGCATCGCGCATCGTATCTCTTTCGCGTGCCTTATCCTACTTATCACGTGGATACTTTTCTCCCTACAAATACGAGAAATTGTAAACACGCGCGAAACGTACGCGGGGCATCGCGCCCCGACGCGATAGTCGCCAAGTCGAGCGCCATTAGCTTCGCGAATCGCGAGCGCGAGGACCAAAGAGACCACCATGATGACTACAAACACGTGGGCTCTGAGAATCGCTTCTAGCTGCGAGAAGAGAGCCCGCAGCTGCCCGCCGTTACTTCCTCGAGCCTGGCTAGCTAATTCTCGGATTAATGATCCAGTTTCTGACTCATGGGCGGGTCCGCAGAACGGATTACTCATGCACCGCGGTTGCGGACCGAGGGGCGAGGGGGTGGCACGTAGATACAGCCCGACGAGACGACGCCGCGCCGTAAGACGCGTGCGCCCGGCGAATAGTCGCGATCGGCGAGAGTGTGTTCGTCGGCGGGCACGACGGGCGGGATCGCCGGCTGCTGCGGCGCTCGGGCGTGGTTTTCCACGTCGTCGCGGTATGCGCCGTTGCCCGGCCGGGTGGGGCAGACGGGGCGAGGGGGCGAGACAGAAGGTGCACCTGGATCTCTCATGGGGCGCCCCCCCCCCGTTTCCCCCGTTGCAGCCAGTCAGCCTGAGTCAGGCAGCGACTATCGACGGGACTAGAAGGTGTGCGCGGTGTCGCGCGTCGCCGGTCGCCGATCGTCCTGTAGTCGCCGCGCCGTAAGACCCGACGAAGCCCCGAGAACTCGGGATTGGCGCGTCCGGTGCGATCAACGGCCACCGGCAAATTAAATGGCACGTCGCGCCGCGGTGACGTCACCGTACGAGCGTCACGGGCTCCTGGTGAGATCATCGTCGAGGGCGTCGTCGACGTCGGGCCGCACTGTGAGCGACGCTTTATTACGTAATATTGTTGTGGGCAATGACACGCGCGCTGGGCGGAGGCTGCCGGGACGTTTGACTCGCGCGGAATCCAATTCGGCGGGCGAGAGATTTATATTATCCGCGGTACGGCGGATCGGCGACGATATCCGCTTAGCTCGCACGACTGAAAAGAATATTCGTGTGTGAATGACAAGTCTCTGAAATGTACGAGGAAATATGAGAAACGTCGGGTCAAGAAATGAGGTCAACGAATTTTTCGCGTTAGAGTACGCTCGAGGCGATCTATAATCCCTGTCGGTTTCGGGATAAATTTCTTCGATGTGCCTAACACACGTATACATTCTGGTTCCTCAATTGTTCTCTGCATCGGACACCAAGTTATAAATAGAATTTTATTCTGTACACCGAGTTACATGTCCTCTACAGTGGGCTTTAAATAGAGATGCGCGTATAGGGAGTGATTTCTATTTAAAGGGGGAAAAAAACAGAGTAAATTCGAGCTAATGATTCTTAGATGACGCTTGTGGGACTGTAATCTCGACGAAGATGTCTCAGACGGCTAGCGAGACTTGTCCTCGGGAGCGTAAGATGAGAAATTGAACTGTCCGAGCGCAGGGGTCGGTGCCATGCAGGTCCGTCTAGACGGGAAGCTGGCGTTGCTGTACACTCTACTGATCTTGCAAGTTCTGATCGTTATGATCTATGTCGCCACAACTCCACCGGCCGAGCTAGCTGCGTCAACGACTCGCGCGTCCGTCAGTTTCGTCAAGTTCGAAACGTCGCAGGTGCTGCGGACTTTTATAATCGACAATGTAATTTACTTGAAAGTACGCGCAAACTAATTGCTTTCTCTCATTGAAGGAGCTGCACGTGAATCAGGGCAATCGTAAAAAGTCACCAATCTACCAGACAATCAATGGGGAGGTAGCGTTGAAGGACGTCAAGACATTTAGGCTGTTTGAGGTGTACAATCGTACCGTGTGCTGGAAGTATGGGGTGGACCAGCGTAAGATGAAGAGCAACGAGCATTTGGAAAGGTGTATCTGCAATCAGGGATGGCACGGCCTGGACTGCGGACAGCCGGAGGTCGTGTGGCGGGCAATCATGGCGTCGAAGCAGAACGTCAGCCTGAAACGCCGCAGGACCGCCCGACACGTCATTCACACCTTTTTCCTGAGCGACTACAACTCCGCGATCGCCGAGGTGATCGTGGAGGAACTCTACGACGTGGTGGACCTTTTTGTAATATGCGACTTTAACAACGCGGAGGACAATTTCCGGCACAAACTGTCCAAGGGACTGCTGCAGCGGGAGCAAAAGAAGATCCTGTACGTGAACGTGGCGACCAAGTCCCGCAGGCCGTCCAGGATGGTATCGAGATACGTCTGGGACAAGATCAGGAGCGTGGTGCAGAACTTAAGGGACGACGATATCTACGTGACGACGGAGCCGGAGCAGATACTCAACTCCAGGGCATTAATGTTCCTCAAGGTGTACGACGGCTGGCCTCAGCCCATCGGGTTTAGACTGAGATGGTCGATATACGGCTTTTTCTGGCAGCATCCGCTCAAGACAACGATCACGCTCGGCGCGTACACCGTCGGCCTGATGCGCAACGCCTATCAGTCCAACTCGCTCGTGCTGCGGCAACAGTTGGACGGAGACACCAGCGAGAGAGATATCTTAGGATTAGTCATAGGGGACTTGAATCACTACGGCGGCTGGTACTGCAACCTGTGCCAGGCGCCCGCGAACATAATTATCGGTCTTCGCAATAGAGTTGAGTCTAAGGAGATTTATATCGAGAAGACTATCGACGTGCCGTTCGTCGAGGACCTAATAAGTAGCGGACTGTGGCTGGACGGTAAAACCGGTCTTCTCAGAGTCTCAAAGTCTAGGGATTCCTATTTCGCGCCAGAAGCGATTCTCAACAACACGTGGAAGTACGACTGGCTGGTAGAGAATTTTTACGCTAAACTAGATTACTACTGACGTACTGGTCGCACCCGACTGTGATATTAACTCATACTCGATACTCAGTGTACACTAATGTAATATTATACTGAATTTATACACTAAAATATTACGTTGACGAAATATAAATGTTAAATGGTTTATACATATAATTTACACGCTCGGAAATTCGAAACTCCCTCGCTCCGAGAGATCCCTTCCATGCAATCACGGTAGTGTCTCGCGCCAAGTATAAGCGTAGCTACGATATCCTTGCGGTGCAAATAATTGTTATATTTCAACATTTTTTTTAGTGCCAACTTACCAATTAAATTTCAACAGCGCGAGGGAAGTCGCTATGTAAGGCAGCATAAAATATATCGAAAACTGATGCGCCTTCCACTGGCTGCCAAATAACTCGACGACATTGAAGACGAGAATGCTCGTGGCGATGATTAAACTCTGCCCGACCTCCAGGCCGTTTATCCCGGCTAATATATTAATAGCGTTTGTACAAAACACCGCCAACATTCCCATATACACGTAATAAAAAATCCACAGTTCCAGCGAGAAACCAAGCCACGCTCTCAACGGCTTCGGTACGATGATTATCGTGGAGTTGAAGTTTACGTAGTAAACCATCAGTAGCGGCAAAGACGCTATGGTGGGCAGAAGTAGTTTGTGCCGCCAACGGAGATCCAAAACATCGTCGGCAAAGCCCAGGAGTAGCATGCAACATATGGACAGTAACGCAGCCAGGAAGTCGACGAACTGCAATGGAAAGCTCGCGCTCTACACATCTTGAATTTATGTAACGGCGCAGGAATACCGCAGTGCGTAAGCGTTTCTACGATTATCGACTCATCTTAATCCTCTGAAACCGGACACATGTACCTTGTCGTGCGGGAAGTTTGTATTCCTAAATATGCAATCTGTAAATGGCACGGGGATAAATAGGAACATCGTTATGAGAAACACGCATCCGGTAACAACGCCTATCGCCTCCGGTCTGGAAAAATAAACCCGATCGTGTACACCAAGCGTCGTCGTGCAAACGGCGAGACGAGTCTCTCGGAGGCTGGACCGATCGACTCCGCTGGATCAAGAGCCAGGAAGACTCGAGTTACTCAGGCAGCTATTCCGTAAACGTTAACGACATCGTCGCGTGCTCTGCGCCGATATCGTTAACGTTTAGGCCCGGCCTACTTCAGTCAGAAGTCAGGAGCTCGATCGTGAGGCTGTAGCTTAGTTTATACCGACCGCTTGATTCGCGTATACCAAGTACTATATCCGTGTTAAATCACTTGATACGTTTGGTATAAACGCTCGTGGATCATTTTGGTTCGATACTCCTGACTCGCTAGTGGCCTAGTTTACATCGATCACTTGGTACGCGTATCAAATAGTAAATAACTAGTAAATCAGTTTAATCATTGGCTGATCAGCTCAAATACACTACTTGATACGCGTATCAAGTGCACGATGTAAACTAGGCCACTATCAGACCAAGTTGATACACGTATCAAAAGATGTCAGCGCACTGTAAACGATTTGATTCGGATCAATTTATACAGAGTTATTGCGACCTGTTTCTCGACAGATAAAGGCTATCTGGATACCAGGAAAAGAAGCTTGGGTTCTAACCCTTGTGCGAACAATGTCACAAAGCGTTGTGTTTTTTTTCTACATTCAAAAAGTGGCCAGCCAATCTGACAGAGTGAAATGATCTTCTACGATTCTTAGCCGAAAATCGTTAGTCCTCTCTTTGGTCCATATTCTTCCTTGATATCAAATACCGTCTAAAATAAGAGTCAGTGATTTTGGATCAGTCATTTGACTCCATTGTACAAGCAACTAATTCCTCCGTTGAAGATACAATTTTCTCAATTTTATCCTCATACGTTTCATCATATTCTTGAGATGTTTTTTTCTGGCTTCTTGCTGCACATTTAAAATTTCGAATAATGTTATAAATGACGCTAGAATTTATCCTCTCTCCATTATTTTTATAAATATCGACCGATTTACAAGAAGTAGACTTGTCGCTCCGAAAACATTAGACTTTATCTGGACTAAAAACCTAACCTAATCTGTTTCGAGATAGATCGGCGTAAACAGGAAGGTATTAAATGTTTAGTCCGCCTCAACTTGATACACGTACCAACCAATTTAACGGTGCAAAAGGGGTCTATAAAACGTGGAGTCGATCAGCTCGGTTTCCGGGAGGCGCCAGGACTCGTTATCTATCGCGCGTCTCACTCACACTTTCCCGCTGCTCCTCTTGCTCATGTCGACGCCGTAGAGGTTAGCCTCGACGAACATCGACTTTATCCGAGGAATCAGGCGGACGGTCAGGCCGTACGCGAACACGGACATCACCGCGTTCACGCATATCGGCAGCAACGACGATCTCCACGTCTCGTTCTCGGCGCTCATCGTCGAAAAGCGCGCGCTTGGCCACCGGTCTCGGTCTCTCTCTCTCTCTCTCTCTCTCGCGCGCGCGCTCTCCGCGCGTCAGCGGCGAGCGCGATAAACCGAGAAGAGTCTCCCTCGAACGCGGTTCGTTACGTCGACGGCGCGACTGCAATATCACCGCATCCTTACCGCGCTGATTAAACGTACACCGCGATTACCGCAAACATTTGTCCCCTGGGCGCCGCCATATTCGCCGTATCGATATGTCTCGAACGTCAACGGGATCGATTAGGCGCCTCGAGAAGCACTGTGCGTCTCCGAAGAGAGAAACAACCGCGCGACAATAAATACTATCAAAAGTGAAATTTAACACTGAAGCTTCTTATAAATAAAAACTTGCTCCCTCCCTAATCCGCGTCTCTCCTCCTCTTTCTCTCTCGTTTATTTTCTCGCGGCTAATTATAGTAATTGTCTCATCGATGCTCCACGGTGGGCATCTCTTGCTGCGCCTCGTGAACAATTTTTCGGAGAAACGGCTGAAAAATTAATCGTACAATTCAACGCTTCTAAACAGCGTGGGCTCGGTCGATCTTCCGTCGCGAGGTAAACACAACATACCGCCGACACTCGAATCGGTCACCTCGCCGCGCGCTATGCGCGCAGTGTTGTCGCTGTACCGTGAACTTAGGCACGCGAGTCTCATCGCGCGGTGACTCACGAAGCGAAGTACACGGGATTCCCCGTTTTCATCTCTCCGGGGCGCTTTCGGGACCGCCGGAGTCGGACGTGGACCGCGTGAGACCCGCGAGGAATTGGCGACCGTTCGATTCGCCCGAAACTGCCCCCGAGAGAGGGAGAGAGAGAGAGAGAGAGAGCACCTAACCCTTCCTCGTCCGTCAGCTCCAACATGCACCGTTTCTGACAGCCAAAGTCCAAGCACGTGACGATTAATCGCGAGGCCTGCAAGGTCCGTACGCTCGACGCGCTCCGAGCCTCCGAATTCGGTGAGTGTGAGATTCCTCTCGTTGGCGGAGGCAGGGCAATCTTACGGGAGGGAGGGGGGGGCGCGACAGTAATCGGCTTTGCTTTCCCAGTCGATGGACTACGAGAAACAGAGGGACGAGGTCACTGCGCTGGAAAGCATCTACACCGACGAGGAATTCTCGTATCACGAGGGGAACGGCCGGTTCGAATGCACCTTCAAGATATTCGTGAATCTACCGGCGACATGTCACCTGGCGTACAGGGATCTGAGGTGCGAGGCGGAGCCGGCGCAGGAGGTGCAGATCTCGTATCTGCCGCCGTTGACGCTGCACGTGACGCTGCCGGAGGACTATCCGTCCAAGTTGGCGCCCGCGTTCATGCTGTGCTCCACGTGGCTGAGCCCGGCGGTGCTGTCTAAGCTGTGCAGGAGGCTCGACTCGCTATGGGAGAGCAGCAGGCAGGAGATCCTGTTCACGTGGGTGGAGTTCCTCCAGGACAAGACGCTCGGCATCCTGAAGTTCAAGGGCCGCCTGGACATGGACGGCATGTACACGTCTTACAAGAGAACGCTGGAGAAGCTGCAGCAGGGCCCGCAGGCGAACAAGGAGCAGGCGAGCGAGGCCGGCAGAGAGAGCGGCGCGTCGAAGAAGGCCGTCGACAAGAGGGCCATTCTGGACTGTCCGATCGGCAGGAACCCCATCCAGGCGTTGGTCGACTACAACGAGAAGCGAAAGCAGATCGAGTTCAAGAAGAACTTCTACACGTGCATCATCTGCTTCACCGACAAGTCAGGGGAGCATTGCACGCAGTTTCTGCCATGCGCCCACACCTTCTGTAAGGATTGCATCCGGGGTTACTTCGAAGTTAAGATAAAGGAGGGAAGCGTACGAAATATTCCCTGCCCCGAAGAAAAGTGCAAGTTCGAGGCTACGCCCGGCCAGGTGAGTTCCCCCGTTTCGCGCTAATCCTATCGAATTTTTATGTGGTACACCGCTGATTTTGTAATGCATTGTTACTCTTGCCGTAGGTAAAAGAGCTGGTAAGTTCGGAGTTGTTCTCAAAGTATGATTCCTTATTGTTAAGTACTACGTTAGATACCATGATGGATATAGTTTACTGTCCGAGACGACATTGTCAGTATCCAGTCACTTGCGATCCCGAGGACAACATGGGCAGGTGTCCCGTTTGTCAGTACGCCTTCTGCGTTCGTTGTAAGATGGTTTATCACGGGATAGAACCCTGCAGAATTAGTTCAGGTATGCGTCGAGATCTTCTTCCGTTATATCAGCACAGAAAGATTGCAGGAAGATTGCAGAAATGTTACATTGCAAGATTGCAATATTGCAGCAACATTGCTGCAACGTTGAAATGTCCGCCCTCAGAGAGATTGCAGTGCAACATTATAGCAATATTTTTGGAATAATTTGTTGTTGTACATAAGCAGAGAATTTACTAATTACATATGCATCCGGGCCTTTTTCAATACACAGCAGGCTATTGCGAAGCAACCTAAGGAGATTATGTCGCTTCGCAATAGATGGAGATTGCGAGCAACACCGCACTGATCAAGTACTTAATAATTCGCCCATTATTGGTATCAACGAAAATAACATTATAAAATTCTCGTAATTAGAGACATTTTTTAAGTAGAAAATATAGTATTTTTATTATTTTTCAAACATTGCTGCAACATTGCTATCGAAAGTTTGCTTTTATATCCCTGCAATGTCTCTGCAAGATTGTACTGCAATCTGCAAGATTGCAACGTTTCTGCAATGTAACTGCAACCATCTGTGCTGTATGGGATAATTTATGTAACGTGCGTCACGTGTTGTTCTTGTCGATAGCTGAGAAGCAAAAGTTGCTGAAGGAATATCAGTCGGCCAGCAACGAGAAGAAGGCCGAGATGGACAAGTATTACGGCAAGAAGCTTCGAACGATGATGGAGGACGTAATGTCCGAGAATTGGATTAGCGACAATAGTCACAATTGTCCGCACTGCAAAACTGCGATCGAGGTACGAGCTTGTCGCACGGATTACGAGATTACGAGATTTGTTGTCACGGTAATTAATTTCGACCAATTGTCGCAGAAATCCGACGGCTGTAACAAGATGACGTGTTCGCATTGCGGCACGTATTTCTGTTGGCTGTGCGGCCTGCGGCTGAAACCCGAGGCGCCTTACTTACACTTTAGAAATCCGGAATCCCCGTGTTACAACATGCTTTATCGCGGCGTGATACCCGACGAGCTGGACGACGACGACGATTTCGATTTTCCCGCTGAATACCTGGACAATTATTCAGAGGACGAGGAGCACGGCAACGATGAAGATTTCGTCTTGGAATACGACGACTGAATCGATGGACTTGAACTTTACATAGTACACTTTTATCGTTGGAATTTTTTTTAAATGTTAATCGTGAACATAATTAGATAATTTATCTTTTTACCGGATGTATTGTGGTTAAATTAAATCTTCAAGATCATGTGAGCGTTTTTATGGACGCACGAGTTCAATTATAAACCGCTATTGTAAAACGAATTGTAAAATATAACTAATTATTTTTTCAATAGCACCACGATCATTACTGCCTCCTACTTACGTCAAGATTCGTCTTACGAAAGATGGTACGCGAAGTTGGAAGCGAGACGGGAAATACGTAATAAATACTATCTCCGAACTTTGCCAAACGAATCTTCCGATCGGACAATCTGAGGAATTCAAGTCCGACGAGTCCTTTTACGAAATCAAAAGTCCACGATTATTTACAAATTTTACCTAATCTTCCCTGCCGGAAATAATTCTACAAAAAAATTAAATATAACTGTCAGAATCTACGAAATTCTACGTAAATTTAAAGTGTTATGAAAATCAACATGAAAATGCTAGAATTGGAACACTTGTTAATTTGTGTAATATTCTAAAAGCTGTTTTCATTCTTTAAGATTTTGTTGCCTCACAAATTTTTAAAACCAGTAAAGCTTTGTACTATTTTTACAAAATTGTAAATTTCCATGAAATATTATTCGCAATAATTTCTTGATTCGAGAACATTGTAATTTGTGGTACTATTTTGTAGTTTTACAAAAAAAAACAAATGTTTCAACGAAGATATAAATTTCTATCTTAAGTCAATTTTTTGTAGTCACTTGTAGAAATTTTCTCGCTACGGTTGATTCAGGAAAGACAGGCGGGTGTATCGAATAGACGCAAATTCGTGTTGCAAATGGATTCGGTTACTTTATTTCAAAACACAGAGATATTTGAAAGCGGTGAGAGCCAGGCAAGGCGGGGGGGAGGGGAGCAATGATAGCATCTTAGTACTCCTCAGCGCCCTCTTCGCCCTCGCCCTCCGCAGAATCCATTCCGACCTCCTCGTAATCCTTCTCAAGAGCGGCAAGATCCTCGCGCGCCTCGGAGAACTCTCCCTCCTCCATACCCTCGCCGACGTACCAGTGGACGAAGGCGCGCTTGGCGTACATCAGATCGAACTTGTGATCCAGACGGGCCCAAGCCTCCGCGATGGCAGTGGTGTTCGACAGCATGCAGACGGCACGCTGGACCTTGGCGAGGTCGCCACCGGGCACAACGGTCGGCGGCTGGTAGTTGATGCCGACCTTGAAGCCGGTGGGGCACCAGTCGACGAACTGAATGGTGCGCTTGGTCTTGATGGTGGCGATCGCTGCGTTGACGTCCTTGGGCACGACGTCGCCGCGGTAGAGCATGCAGCAAGCCATATACTTGCCGTGGCGCGGGTCGCATTTGACCATCTGGTTGGCCGGCTCGAAACAGGCGTTTGTGATCTCCGAGACGGAGAGCTGCTCGTGGTAGGCCTTCTCGGCCGAGATAACGGGCGCGTACGTCACCAGGGGGAAGTGGATTCTCGGATAGGGCACCAAGTTGGTCTGGAATTCCGTCAGGTCGACGTTCAGGGCACCGTCGAAGCGCAGAGAGGCCGTGATGGACGATACGATCTGGCCGATCAGGCGATTGAGATTCGTATAGGTCGGCCTCTCGATGTCCAGGTTGCGACGGCAGATGTCGTAGATCGCCTCGTTGTCGACCATAAATGCGCAGTCGGAATGCTCGAGGGTTGTGTGCGTCGTCAGGATGGAATTGTATGGCTCGACCACGGCGGTGGAGACCTGCGGCGCAGGATAAATGGCGAACTCGAGTTTCGACTTCTTGCCGTAGTCGACGGACAGACGCTCCATCAGTAGGGACGTGAAGCCCGAGCCGGTGCCGCCGCCGAACGAGTGGAAGATGAGGAATCCCTGAAGGCCGGTGCACTGGTCCGCGAGCTTGCGAATGCGGTCCAGCACGAGATCGACGATCTCCTTACCGATCGTGTAGTGACCGCGGGCGTAGTTGTTGGCGGCATCCTCCTTACCGGTGATCAATTGCTCCGGGTGGAAGAGCTGGCGGTAAGTTCCGGTGCGAACCTCATCTGCGGGCACAGACATTCAAACGTGTAGAAATTTCATCAGGTTCCAACGTCGAAGAATTCATACGGGAACGAGATGTACGTACCAACTACGGTAGGTTCCAAATCGATAAAGACAGCTCTGGGTACGTGTTTGCCGGCACCAGTCTCGCTGAAGAAGGTGTTGAAACTGTCGTCTCCACCTCCGATAGTCTTGTCGGACGGCATCTGGCCGTCCGGCTGGATGCCATGTTCCAGGCAGTACAGCTCCCAGCAGGCGTTACCGATCTGTACGCCGGCTTGTCCAACGTGGATTGAGATGCACTCACGCTGAGAAACGAAGGAACGTTAGCGATGTACCTAGCCTCAGGTTCATTCTTATCAATCGATGCCGAACGACTAATATTGATGAATGCGTCCATCTTTGTCAATACAGATTGACTTTAATCTCGATTTGTATTTTTTAATTCTAAAGTTCTGTTTCACCAACGTTGTTCAACTTTAAACTTCGCTGTCCCTTTCCAACTATTGCTTCGAATGGGAGACAAACCTGAATTGATCCCGAGATTAAAGTTACGCGACGTTTGGTGAAACCGAGCCTTAAGCCCAATGTCCACGATGCTAGAACTTGGACCAAGCTCTAGCATCGTGGACATTGGCCTTTAGAAACCGGGGAAAAGGTGAGGCGAGTCGAAGTTAATTCGCATCGATGGAAATAGACGCGAGACACGACGACATATTGATTTTCCAGAACGACTCATCGGGGTCAATGACTCGCGTGCTCGCAGCAACGCTCGAGCGGTGGACAGACGTAAAACGGACGCAACAATTTCCGACGAGCGGCAAATGCAGAGATAAGCAAAAGTCTGTGCCGAATCTTGGCGAGATCGGACAAAGGCGGGGCGATCTAAATTCAACCGACGCCGTAACCGGCCGGCGTTTAACCGTTACAAAATGGCCGTCGACGGGCGACGCCGACACGTAAACGGGAACGCGGGCGCGAGACGGAAAGTGCGCTCGATGACTCACCATATTGTATCACGGGTCGTTCGACGTCCTCTTAAAAAGATACAGAGATAGCCACGCACGGGGCGATCGATAGTTGGCGAAAGCAAGTAATGGAGCTTCTGCTAACAACTATGCGACGTGCGACGTCCGATCGGCGAGCAGCGACTGTTGGGCGTGCGGCGCCTCCCGTGCGCAATTTATACCCGCTGGAATCGACCGTTCCAGCGCGCGCCGATTGGCCGGCGGTGACGCCGCGCCGCGCGCCGATTGGCCGGCCGCTGGACCGCAGCACTCATCACGCCGAGCGCCGTTTCTCCCCACGCGGCGCGATGTAGTCCGCTCGGACGCTCGTTGGAATTAATTTTCCGCCCGTGGGGAAAATCATTTCCGCCCGCTTCCGGAGCCCGCGACCGCGATCTCGAGGCCGCGGGTTCGGGAGCGGACGAGACGCGTCGCCCGCGAGATCGCCGATCCCAGATTTTGACGTCTACAGACGGAGCGGGGGAGGAGGGTGGCACGAAACGGCAGTTTCGTCTCAATTGCGCCATATATGGGCCGCGTCTTTCCCGTGGCGCGGCCCGAATCGCTGCTCCCCGGGTTTCATCTCTTTTTTTGGCGCAACGGAAACCCGCTCGCGGCAGCTGTCTGACACGAAGGCGGGAGGGACGACGAGATCGAGGTCGTCGCGAGAACCGAGCGGGCCGATCCTTCGCCGCGTGACTCCCGTGGCTCCCAGCGATTCCTCGTCCTCGCGCTAGATAATTCGACATCTTGGTATCCCCAGTGAGAAATGATTCGTCGATCGACGTCGATCGACGTCGATCGACGAATCATTTCTCACTGGATCCGGCCTGTCCGGCGAGCGCACTCCGGCGTTTCATGATCTGATTCCCCGTGTTTCGCTCGAGCGCACTCGGCGCCGGCAACGGCCGTGTCTGTCGACGATATATGAGTACAGTTACGTTGCTAGGACGACTCGCGGCAGTCGCGGGCTCGCCCGAGAGAATCGGCGAGGAGACAGGAGGCGCGTCGCGCCTCCTCAGTTGACGTAAACGTCAATAATTGAAGGCCACGGCGAAATGCAATGAATTATCCGCGAAGGGGACGAGAAATTTCGAGGGGAGCGATTTCGTTCGTTTTATCGACGTCAGACGATTGAATGAGTAATTTCAATAATGGATCTTCGGGAATGTCTGAACGTCACGAGCGGTCTACTTGCTCTTTCGAAAATGAAAGAATTCAGACGATTTTCCTCTAGCAATAAGACGTCTCTAATCTAATTCATTTCCTTGCACAATCTTCTAATTGGATGATACTTGAAATTGCAGCGAGTTAATTACCACGAGACCTGGGGCTCGATCGTAAATCTTTTCCTTCAGGGTGAACTCGTGAAAATTTTCACTCTTTACAGGCTCACACTGGAGGAAAAGATTCACGATCAAGCTTCTGAAGAAGCAAATTCGGAATGTTGTATCGAGGTAGAAACAAATATGTTCCACGCCCGAATTCTGTAACATATTTGTGTTAGGCCTGTTCTACAATACGTTGTATGTCGCTGCCGGAACGTAGCCGATGGTTCAATGAGAAAATTTCTTTAAAAAGAAACGTATTGTAGAACAGGGAGTCAATTCTGTATCTTACAATGGGTGCACTCAGAAGCACGATTGCTCGCTGAGCGTTTAAAATGCTAAAAGTGAGCGGTTTTGTCTCTTTCTAAGGGGATGGCTAGAAAGAGACAAAGCTATTCACTTTTAGCATTTTCGCTATAATGTAAGAATTGACACCAGAGCCTTAATTACTTTGAAATCCGCGTTGCTTTATATCTTTCTGGATACTACGTGATTTATTTTACTTTGGTGAAAAGAAAGTGGCAAATTAACCTTTGGGTGTTTCTGCATTGGCTATATACCCAGATAGCCAGTGTGAGCACAAGTTGCTTTCACATTGCTAAGAAAAATGTTAGCATCTTGCTATGCATCTATGTCGTTTATTGTGCTGTTGTTTGCTAGCATTTAGTGTCGGAAATGAAACATTTGCATGATTCAAACATTATGCTAGCATTAAGTGCTTGGTCAGATGTAATAGATATAACATGTTTATATCTGTTAGAAAATTGAAAACAATATATGCTAATTCTTTGTTAA